AGACTGATCCGATCTTAGATCTGTGAGTTACCTAAGACTTTGTCACCTACCTCAGGAATGTTAGGAGAATGCAAAGAAACCACACCAGGCTCCTTCCTCTCTGTGTATTATAAGCCCTCAAAAACTGACACATGTCTTCAGCACCTAGTGCCTAGTAGATTTATGACTCTCAGAGTGTGGACACAGCAGCAGCTGGGGCCCTGTGAGGCACTCTAGTCCTGCCAGAGCCCGTCCCTGTCACTCAGATGCCTGGGCCAAGCATTCTGGCCTAACTAGTCCTTCTGTAGTTTCTTTCTTTTTTTTTTTAATATTTATTTATTTATTATGTATACAATATTCTGTCTTGTGTGTATGTCTGCAGGCCAGAAGAGGGCACCATACCTCATTACAGATGGTTGTGAGCCACCATGTGGTCGCCGGGAATTGAACTCAGGACCTTTGGAAGAGCAGGCAATGCTCTTAACCACTGAGCCATCTCTCTCCAGCCCCCCTTCTGTAGTTTCTAAGCGCTTCCCTAGTTGTGAACATTAGCAAGACAGTGTTTGAGTGTGTACGCTCTCCCTGGAAGGACAGACTTGGAAAAGAGCCGTTGGCATGCTGCGAGCCAAGTACCCTGGAACTGTGGTCCCCACGAGGGGAGGGCGGAATCAGCATTTGGAAGGAGTTTTAGAAAGAATTCCTAAGAAAATAAGATTTAAACTGTATCCAGGTGTCAGGGGGAGAGCAAGTTCGTGTTACAGGGTGATGGCCAGGTCTGCTTACAAGCGTATCTTTCTCCTCTTTTTTTGTTTAATTTTTTATTCTTTTGTGGGTTTTATACATGAGTACTGCGTTTACATCATTTCCACTCCTCCCTCCTCATTCCAGCTTTTCCCATGATTCTCTCTCTCTCTCTCTCTCTCTCTCTCTCTCTCTCTCTCACACACACACACACACACACACACACACACACACACACACGGCTTTCTTTGTTCCCTACAGGAGTGATTGAACATAAAGAGCTTAAATTCTCATATATTGAGTCTTTATGTATCATTTCTTCTCAGTACAAACTATTAAAGCTACAAAGCCAAACTACTTATAAGTTTTCTGCTTCGAGGTACAATATTTCTGTTAAGTGCTAACTGTGTCATGTATTTAACATGCTCTGTCTTAAAAGTTGGCAGTATGAGGTGTGTTTTCTGTGAAACTCAGGCAGCATGCTTGATAGAAGCTGGGCCTGAATTAGCTTGTCCTGTTAGTAACTGGTCTTCCACTAAGCCCGTGGTGGAGGAAGCTGGCTGCTTCCCAGGGTCCTTTTGTCCACATTTGGATCCTCACTCAAGTGTGAAAGCAGTTATTCACACAGCAGAAATCAGGCGTGGGCATAGAATGCCTGGACCTCCTCCTTGTCCAGGTTCTGGGCAGGAATTGTCTTTACCCAACAGTTATAACCAGAATCCTGCTGCTTCTCCAGACACTCGAAACCTTGTGAATGCAGCATTAGACTGGACATCCGGAACTTGAAGGCTTTGGTATTTGAAGTTTATCCAGTATCTCAATCTGTTTTTTTCCTGCTTTCAACCATTGCATCAGGAAGAGTTAATATTTGTGAGGCAAGTTTGTGATCGTTACTTGCCTAGTCTAGCTTTACATAGAAAGCTGTCCCTGCAACTCATCGCCCGTCTTCCTCAGCCTCACTTCTGTTTGATGCTCTACATCTTTACTTTACGTGGTTACACAGGAAAGGGATTAGGAGCTACAGTTTGGGGAACAGTGGTGAAGCTGGTATTAAATGAGCATAGGCCCCTGATGGGCGGACACAGTCTTGGTATCTTGACTATATAAAGATTGAGTCTAAGGTTGGGAACGAAATTTTATGAAATTTACCAGAGTGAAGGAAAGCCTTTTTTGTTACTTTTCATTAGTGAAGATAGATTTGAGTGGAATTGCTTTGAGTCTCTCTCCATTTAGACTGACATTGGCTGTGGGATTGCTGTAAACTGCCTTATCATATTGAGGTGTGTCTCCTGTATCCCTCGTTTCTTCAGGACTTTTATCATGAAAGATGTTGGATTTTATCAAAGGCCTTTTCTGCATTTGTTAATATTGTTGATTGCATTTATGTTGCACAATCCCTGCATCTCTGGAATGAAACCTTCTTGATCTTGGCGAATGATCTTTTTTTTTATGTTTTTATTCAGTTTGAAAATATTTAACTGAGAATTTTTGCATCTGTGTTCATAAGAGAAGTTGATCTGTAATTCTTTTTTTGTTGTTGTTGTTGAGTCTTTTTTTTTTAAGTTTAGGTATCAGGGTAACTCTGGCCTACTAAAAAGAATTGGACAATGTTCTTTGTATTTCTGTTTTGTGAAATAATTTGAGGAGTGTTGCTGTTAATCTGGTAGAATTCTGTGCTAAAGCCATGTGGCTCTGAGCTCTTTTTGGTTGGGAGACATAATGCTACTTCTGTTTCACTAGGGGTCATAGTTCTGTTTAATTTGCTTACCTCATCTTGATTTAACTTTGGTTTCTGGTTTATGTGATGCCCTTCCCCCAGAGGCTCTTTCCTTTATAATCCAGACATTTTGGTTATCCATCCCTTTTAGGACCTTTGCCCTCATGGCTGCTGCACCTGGTTCCCCTCTCCCTCTGTCCCTTCCCATTTCCCTCTCCCCACATAGCCCAGCTGGATCTGGTCACAGGCACTCTCATGGCTGTCCCTGCCTCTGGCTATGCTCTCCCTTTTATCTACAGTAAACTTTCTCCTCCACCATTCCTAGAAGCAGTCATGTCCTTTCTTTCCTATTTCTTTTTTTTATATTCAGTAGGTGAAAGGAAACAGTTTGCCCAGGACCCCCAGAACCAACTTCCCAGCACAAAGGAGATTTATTTTCCTCAGAGGGACAAGGGCAGGGAGTAAGAGACAAAGACAGGAAATAGAATATGGGGGAGAAGAGGAAGGGAACAAGGTAGAAGGGGAAGGGGTATTTGTTCCAGGATAGGTGACAATGACAAAGGATGGCCTCTGGATAAAGAGATAGGTGTGGTACATAGGAAAGTGGCAGTTTATAAAGGTAAAGAGGGAAACCCCATGTTTGGATGAAGTGTTTAATTTTAATTGGGTATGTTCATTAGGTGAGCCAAAGGGAGCTTTTGATTCCTGAACTTCAGTACTTTGATAGCTGGACCTTAGTAGTCAGCTTCAAGTGGGGAAGTAGCCAAGTAAGGGACTAGACCTTGGTGGCCAGCTTTAGGAATGTAACCAATGCTTTATAGCAAGGCAGAGCAAGTGGAGCCATGCTCGCCATGCTCGCTCGGGCTGGCTAGAGTCCTCCCTTCAGTGGGGCATGGCTATACTCCCACAACTTGGGAGGCTGAGGCTGGAGAATCTTGAGTGCAAGGCTACCCTGAGCAATGTAGAAAGTCCTTCATCAAATGCACCAGACGTCAGATGTGTCTACATCGTTTCTTTCTGAGCTGCTGCTGCCATTCGTCTAAGTGCTTGATTTATTTTTGACATTCTGTCCTCAGTCATGGCTGTATTGTTGTTGATTGACAAAATTATCCTCCGAAAGGCATTTCTGATTCTGAGTCAGCAGGTAAATAAGAAATCCGAGGTCCAATCTATAGGAACATGAAGCAAGTTATAGGGGCAAGAGAGATAATGTTTGTGGGTTGGGAGAACTTTGTTAGAGAAAGAACTGAAGAGGAATATGGCCATCTATGAACCAGGCAATCACTGGTCCAGATATGTTTGAATACCAGAAGGAGGTTGACAAAGTTCACAGGGAAACTGATTCTTGGTAATTGGGGCCAATATTACTGTGTATATAGATGAACATCAAGGCTGCAGTAAATGCGATTTCTGTGAAGCTGAGATGGTAACTGTTAACAAACGAAGAATTAAAAAGACAAGGGAGGAGAAAATAGGACTTATGAACCTTGGTAGAGCATACAATTTTTAAAATTGGTGTATTAAAATTTTAAGTAGAAAATAGAGGACCAGAGAAATGACTCAGTAGGTGAAGAGCTTGCCACACAAGCGTGAGGACCTGAGTTCGAATCCTCAGAAACCTTATAAGTAGTGTATGTCTATATATAATCCCAGCTGGGAGGGTGAGATAGAAGAATTCCCAGTAGCTTGCAGGCCAGGTAGCCTGATGTTCACAGTGGTGAGCAAGAGACCCTATCTCAGACAATGTGGGAAGCGAGGACCAGTGTCTGAGGTTGTCTTCTAACCTCCACACACATGTTGTAGCACATATATATCTGCTCTTCTATACACACACACACACACACACACACACACACATACAGAAAGATTAAAAAAAGAAAAAGAACGCCTTTAATCCCAGCACTTGGGAGGCAGAGGCAGGCGGATCTCTGGGAGTTCGAGGCCAGCCTGGTCTACAAGAGCTAGTTCCAGGACAGGAACCAAAAGCTACGGAGAAACCCTGTCTCGAAAAATCAAAAAAAAAAAAAAAAAAAGAAAAAAAAAGAAAAAGAAGCTATGTTTTAGGATTTCTCTCATTAGCTAGATGTGTAATAGTGAATTGTAAAGGAACTGAGATTCATTAAGGAAAGTTAGAAAATATTTCATTTAAAAAAAAGAAAATATTTTATTGATAAGAGAATGAGACATGTTTGTTTATTATTCTAGGATCTACAAATGGATGAAATACTCACATAAGTTATGACTGTATGTGAAATATGGTATATGTAGAATAACTCTGCTATCCAAGAGTGTATAATAAAATGGAATTTAAGATGATTATATAACTTCAGTTTTCCTTGATCTTAGTTTTCTAATAGAATTCTGTATTAAAATACTTAATCTATTTATGTGAAATTTAGAAAATCAGAGATAATGTCACTTGCTCTTTGTTGATTACTGCCAAATTATAGTGCTTGTGAAAGAAATTTATGGAAATGAAATGAATTCCTCGTATTATTGACTTAGGAGCAGTATTTTATTACTGACTTACAGTACGTCTAATTTGCGTCTTCCTGTTTTCCAGCTTGGCTCGTCCTCTTCTGTGCCTTTTACATCAATTTTCTCTCAGCTTTTTATGACGGTTGTGGTTCCTCTCATTATTGGACAGGTAAGGGCCCTGGTCTAGCTGCTCTCCCTAGACTGATTATGCTGTGAATTCTTATGTGAAGTCAGGGCAGGTGAGGGGAGAGAATGAAAAAAGAAAACAAAGTGTGTGGTTTCAGCATTTCCATCCTTAAAGTTTTAATTAACATTAAACCGCATCACAGTTGGTTTTCTGCACAGATCCCGGCTGGACCCGAGAACCTTCCTTCTCAAGCAACAAGAACTCTTCTGTAGTGCTTCCTATGACTTTATTAGATAACTTATTTATGAGCATGCATATGTAAAATGAGGGTCTTCTTGGGTGTGTTTGTTAATTTGGGGGTTAGGTCATTGGGCAGCCACAGTCATGGAGATGAGTTTAATATCAGAATGAATGTAGTAGGCTTTGGAGAAATGGTGTGTGAGCCTGACTCAGGGTCAAGACCCATGTTTGTTTCTAGCCTTCATTTGCTGGATGACCATGTTCAAGTCATTTTATCTTCCCAGCTCCCAGTCACAATTTACTAAATATTATAATTACAGTACCTCTCAAAGTATGATTGTAAGGGCTAAATGAATTATTGATGGCTGTAAAGTTCTTGGACACAAAGTCTGACACAAGCGAACCCTACGACTTCAGTCATTGTCACCGCCATCATCATTATGATTGCCGTATGTGCCAAACAGGAGACAGGCCTTTCAGACGTTGTCCATAAACACAGTCTCCAGACAGCTGCTCTTCAGTGCAATTCTGAGAAAGACTCTGCAGAAAGGGAGAGTGCCTTCCCAGGGCTCCCTTGCAGAACTCCGGGCTGCTCCACCCCAGAGCAGAGAACACACAGTCTTCAGACTGCCTCCCAGTCAGGCTAGCCGCACTCACAATAGGGAAGCTGACAGACAACAGGCAGTTCTATACAGAGGACCAGAGCATCCAGTGCACAGACATTTTAATTTTACACTTATAAAACAGATCAAATTTAGCATAATTGGGGTGATTTAAAAGTAATCAAAGATTACCATTTAATAAACTACAAAATAACAGTTGAAAAATGCACCCTGTTGTCAGTCACATATTTCCAATAAACAGTATACCCCCTGCCCTTGGGAGCTTTTGCCGCATTTCTTGTATTTCTGTTTATTCCTTCTGATGGCATGTCCTCCTGCCCACCCTGCCTTCCCAGCTTGTTACTCATCTTGATGTTGTAATCCACCTCCCCTTTGAACCATGTGAGTCCCTCAGTTTCATCACCTTAGCACCAAGTTCAATTCCTGTCATGGACCCCTGGTGGTGTCTAGAAGCGGTTTGCTTTGTTCCCGTTACATTCCCACGCTACAGGGATCCAGGAAGTGTGTGCAGAATGAACAAAAGGAAAGGAGACATCATCGGTGTGCATTCATGTTCCCCCCAGTAACTTGGAACACATAATTCTTCTCTTAATGATAAATACTTGACTTAATACAAACGGACAGAAACACACCTGCCAACATAATGTAGTTGTTAAATGTATAAATTGCTATCTGTCACTTATGTAAAGAATCTTTACCAAATAGAATGTGGGGTGTTAGCTTGCTCATCCTGTGTGTGCCCAATAGTAAAGCATTCAGTAAATTATAAAGTGGTAAAGACAGCCAAAACGTAGTTCAGAACAGCTTTTTAAAAATGAGTTTTTTCACACAGTATATTCTGATCACATTCTCCCCTTCCTCATCTCCTCTCAGATCCCCCCCACAATCCACCCTCGAGCACCATACCCAAACAAGCCAATAAAAAACAAACCAAAATAAAACAAAGCCAACAGAGAAAAGAAAGAAAAAGAAAAAAAGCACCAACACAGACACACACACCCATAAAGACACCAAATAGGAAATTACAGTAGATAAGCAAAAGACAAGTAAGGTTTAAAAAAAAAGCCTAAACAAAGCATTATAAGACAATACTGACATTATGATTCTCCAAAACATACTGTCCATCTACTGCCAGGTCTGGGGTCCTTTGCAAGGGTTGTCAGCTGGAAATAGCTTCCGGGTTAAGGGTGAGCTTATGTGCACCCCCCTCCCAGCACCCGGACCCTGTCTGGCTTTGGTGTGTACAGACTCAGTGTGGGTATCTTACTGCCTCCTCGTAGGCACTTAGGTGGCTTTATGTGACAAGGGAACCTGCGTACTTGCATCTTCCTGCCCCTCCCTATTCTGATCTTAGGAGTGAGCCGTCAGCAGCACTGTGCTGGTGGGTCAGCCTCGCCTGTGTCCTTATCCCTACATCCAGGAAGTCACTAAACCCTTTCTCTCTCGCTCTTTCCCAACTTGGCATCTGCAAACACCATCCAGTGTGAGAGAGGGCAGCACACCTACTCATCTTTGGCTGTCATCACCCCTCCGGATGTCCTTGGGTTCCCACCCTCACTCTCACTGCCTCCAGGAGCCATAGCAGTGAGTGCTCGAGGTGCTCCTCTTTGTAGGAACTGCTCTGCACTCGCTGGTATCACTTCCTTGGCCCACACCAGCACAGTTTATAATTCAGAGTTTGGTTCACCCTGCCTCTGCTGTGCACCCATCTACCATGGCCTTTCTTATTGTGTAGTCCACATTCTCGTTCCTGCAGCCCCAGTCACACCCCCTGCCCTGCAGTGGCCTGTTCTCACTCCCCCCCCCACACACACACACTCAGTTCCAGCTCACCCATGGTGGGCTCAGAATGCAGTTACGGAGGGATGGATCATGTATCGTAAGCTAGAGACAGAGACAAATCCTTCTTAAGGCTTTCAGTCTCCTGCCTCACATCTTTATTGGCTGGGTGTCATTCATCCTGAGTGGTGAGTCCATAAGCAGTTGCTCCCAGGTGTATTCAGTAGCCTGCTCATTAGTATTTTTTGCTGTACCAAAAAATTGGCTTAGGGCCTAGAGAGATGGCTCAGCAGTTAAGAGCACCGACTGCTCTTCCAGAGGATCTGAGTTCAATTTCAAGCACCCACACACAGCAGCTAACAACTGTGTAACTCCCTCACACAGACATACATACGTGCAGGCAAAACACTGATACGTGTAAATTAAGAAAAAAAGATTGGCAGAGAAAACTTTCAACTTACCCACAGCAGGCCTGGCACTCCTTTTCCTAGATTGCAATTTCTCAGGGTTATATTTTTATGTCTGCATATAGTAGCTATCTGATAACAGTAGCTTCTTTCCCAGAAATCATCTGCCAAACATGTCTTGAAAACAAAATTAAGTATAGTTGCCCCTCGGGATCTTAGGGGATTGGTTCCAGTGTCATTACAGACAAAATCTAGGGGTGTTCCAGTCTGTAAAATAGCATAGTGTTTGTACATGACTATACATATCCTCTACAGATTATTTATAATACCTAATCAATACAGTTCAAATGTTGTATCAATAGTTTAAAGAATAGTAAGGAAAACAAGCCTGCACAGATTCAGTCTGGAAGCAAGTTTTTTCAAATAGTTTTAATTTACGATCCCACAGGTGCAGGGGACCAACTATAAGGCCATAACAAAAGAGAGGGGGCCCAGTATAGGAGCACATTGTATTAGGTGAGCCCTGTTCCATGGGGAGATGATCACCTCTGGAGAGGGGTGTCTAGAACGGGCTCACGGCCTTGGCCACCTGCTCCGTGACCGCACCTTTCAGAGTCAGCCAGTTTCACGCAGACTGCATCAAGGATGAGATGCCACACTTCCATCTTAGAGCACCATAGGGAGTCACGAGGAAGTACGGTGTTTTAAGGAGGGTGTGCTTTTCCTAGTGCACAGGAGGTGTTTTCCCTAGTGCCCAGGAAAGCGCTCTTGTGGCTGAGTGTGTTGGGGCTTCTCACTTCTCAGGCGCCACCTGCTTCCCTCTCTGCTCATCCAGTAGTTCTTTCAGCTGCTGCAGCACCGCTGTTCGACCCCATTTCCCCTCCAACCCCCTCAAAACCCACAGCCTAGCACTGAAGACGCACTCCTTCCCCGTTTCAGTTCCTCCGCCCTCCTCTTTATCATATTTTCACAAAAGCCCCGTCCCTGTTTGCATCTGACCTCCTAGTCTGTGTGTGCATCGGCTGCTTGGATCCCAGGACCCATCACTGTCTTCGTCCCCTGGCAGAAGTCCACAGTCTCTGTCCGGCTCCATCATCACACATCCCAGCAGAGCTCTGTGCTGCAGTCACATAGTCCTATTGTGCTTTAAATTCATGGCATCAAATTAAAACACCAGCTGAAACACCTGCACAACCCCGTTCCATGGAAGGTGTCCTTTTCTTCCCCTGATTAATTCCCCCAGCCTCTATTTTAGGTCCTGTGTACCTCTCTTACACCCCGCCCCACTCTGTCCGGCTCTTTCTCCAACATCCTGCCCTCTCTTCTCTGGAGCCTTTGCCCACTCCTTGCATTTGCCTGGAAGATCCTGCCACGTTTCACCTCCCTAGAGAGACCTTCCCTCAGCTTCCTCCACTGGCTGCCCTGGTTGAAGTCACACTCAGGGTATCTGGTTTCAACTTCTCAATACATTTCTTTTCCTGCTTCTTGCTTTCTGGTTTCTTTTCATTCAGCTACCCCAAGATAGGGACCTGTCTGCCTACTTTGTCTTTAATGTTGCTCTTCAACCCACTGCTTCACCTAAATTGTGTAATGTGACCTTTGAGGACCTTGTGGGAAGAGCTCAGGCACCCACGGCCAGAGGAAACATGCCAGGTAAAGTTTAGCTTGCCAATTGTAATGGAAATGGGCAAATTACAAAAGTAAACATTCCTACAAGCTGTTTTATTTATCTTTTAAAGCATGATTTCTGCCATTATCTCTTAAACAAAGTGAATTGGGGGTGGGGGTGGAAGTAAGCACGTGAACAGAGTCAAACTTCCTAGCCTTTTACTCTCTTTTGCTTGTTTGGTTATCTGTTGTGGAGGCCCGAAAATGTGAACCTATTTCCACGGTTGACCAAAGGTCAGAGAGTTGGAACTTAACCTCTGTTCCTTCAAGGCTACTGTGTTTGTACCTCAAACTAAGATCCCACCTAGATTTAGGTCAGAAAGTT